AAAAAAAAATTGATATGAAAGATGGTAACGGATCTGTGATTAAAATTGGTTGCAAAACGCTAATGAAAAAGACTTTTTTTTTCTGAAATTTAAATTTGTTGCTTTTTTCTTTCATCTTTCAGTTCTATCCAATTAACTGTGTGATAGATATAAGTTTGAGGATTTGTTTTATTTTCTATTTTTTTCTTTTTAGTCTTTCTTTCTTGTCGGTTCTGAACTGGTGGAGTTTTATTAAAACAGCTATATTTTGAGAGGTTTTTATCTAATGCAAAAACAAAAAAAAATTTATACTTGAAAAATTGTATTTTTAGGTAAAAACTATTCAAATAACATTTCTTCTTTTATAGTTTTTCCTTTCAGTTTTTCAGAAGTCTTTTTCTTTTTTTTTTCTTTTTTCTGCAAATATAGCAAATTTTGTGCAATAATTTCTTTGAAGTATACTTTTTTTATGCATATAGATTTTTGTTTTTATGTGTCTGTGTCTGTGTGTGTCTGTGTTTGTCTGTGTAACTGTGTGGGAGTATATCCATATTTCATTAAGCTAAAAATATTAGCACAGAAAACGATGAAGAGGAAAAGGAAGAGGAAGAGAAGAAGAAGAAGACGACGACGGAGAAGGAATAGTTAAAGGATGACAGTTTGATGGATGTTTAAGGGATGCATTGAAAACGTTTAGTTGCGGTTACTGCTGCCCGTAGGGCCCGCTGCACTGATATTATTTTGACATCGATTTTTCAAATTTTCACTTCGTTTCCGTTTGCAGTTTTTGCCTTCTCCTCTCTTTCTTCTTCTTCTTCTTTTTTTTTCCTCATTTTTATTCAGAGCGCAAAACAGAAAGTTGTTTCAAAAAAATATTCAGTTTTTGTTTTGCTGTTATCGTTGTTGCCGCTTGTTGATTGTTCCCTTTCCTTGTTGTCTTTTAACTTCACTTTTTTTTTTTCTCATCATCAAGCCTTAATTTTATCCTTAAACTTTATCAGTGTGTTTCTACAAAACTTCGTCATTGTTGGCATTTAGTTTTGCAAATTAACTTTCTTCTTCTCTCCTCTGTTTGTGAGCATATATATTTTTTGCATTTCTACTTGGATATTGTTCTTGAAGTCAAACAGATATGTGTTCAACGGTAGATGAAAATATTTAAAATATTTGAATAGGAAAAAAGTGAGTGAATAGATAGATAAACAAATAATTAAGTTTTTTGAACTTTTATTTTTATGAAGGTATATATTGCGCGAGTAATAAAGATAGCAAAAAAATTTTTGTTCAAGTAAAGGTTTATTTTGTTCTTTTTTTTATTTTTTTTTGTATCGCTTCTTTTTTATTTTTAGGTAACAAGAAACTTTTCGGACTTGGTTACCGATTTAGACCGTATTTCATCGTCGACCAACTATTCAGTGGCATCAAAAAGTGGTAACAGCTATAAGAAGCCGACAGAATCAACAACGGAAAGATTGACTAATAACAATGGTTCTGCTTCCCTGCCGTCTGGTTCGTTACAAAAACCAACCAGTTTATATGAGCCGTACTGGAGAGATCCATCTTTTTATAAACGGCGCTACGGAAGTGATGGGATTTCAATGAATTCCGAAGAAGAAGCTAAGGTACCAATGGTTTTGATTTTGTCGACAAATTTCTAAACAAATATCACTTCTCAATACAGTAGCTTTTCTTTCTCTATTTTTTTCCTGAACGACAACACTGCTACTGTTTTTTTCGTTTTTTGATTATTCATTTTCGTCTTTTTTTTCTCTTTTCTCTGTTTGTTTGTGTAAATTATTTATTTGTTTTTCAAGGATCAACTAGTTAGACACACTACATATGCGCTTGTTAAAAGCCGAAAAGTGGATGGAGGAGGAAAAAATACTGACGGCAGTCTTGAGTCAATTTGTGAAGGCTCTTCAAATGCAGAAGAGTTTGGTTCACAAACCATTTCTGACCCTCTTGCTCCACAGATGCTTCGTGGTTTATCGCCGGACTGCGAAGTAACAGGACGTAAAGTATCTTTCAGTACAGCGCCTATTAAGGTACTTTGCACTTAAAAATTGAACTTTTATTTTGATTGAAATAATTGCTTGCTTTTATTTCTGTTTTCGTTAACCTTTTCATTAATTATTATTGCAACAACAAATAACTAGGGACGAATTTGACTGAAATTATGTTTCAACTTTTACCTCTTTTTACTTTTTTTTGGTTTTCAGGTATATTCTACGCATAGCGTCGCTGATTACGATCGACGCAATGACGACATTGATCCTGTTGCATCATGCGCTGAATATGAATTGGAAAGGAGGCTTGATAAAATGGAAATTTTTGATGTAAAATTAGAGAAAGGAGTTGAAGGACTCGGGGTGAACAAATGCTTTTTTTTTTTGATTTTTCTAGCATTTTAATTTTGTACAACTAGGATAAATTAGTACAGCTGTCAATAAGTAGCTATATAACCTGAAATTTTTAAGGTGTCGATTATCGGAATGGGAGTCGGAGCAGATTCAGGACTCGAAAAGTTGGGTATTTTTGTTAAAAGTATTACCTCTGGTGGTGCCGTTGATCGTAACGGTAAAATCCGAGTTTGCGATCAAATTGTCAGTGTGGATGGTGTAAGCCTGGTCGGTGTTAGTCAAATATTTGCAGCTGAAACCCTTCGAGCAACCGGCAATGAGGTTGTTATTGCAATTGTAACCGTAAAGACATCCTTTCCATAAGATGCTTTTTTTTTGTTATTTTTGCATTTCATTCTAGGTTACGTTTACGATTGGTCGTGAAACTAACTTAGAGGATAGTGAAGTTGCACAGCTAATCAGGCAGTCTCTGGAAGCTGATAGAGCTCGAGAAGTTGCTCATTTAGAAGATGATGTCGACTCAGACGAAGGTGAAGATCCATCGGTTGCTGCCCTGGCCAGTAAACAGGAGCAACAGATTCGAGTACGTTTAACCGGTGTTAACAGTTTTTTGAATGAAAATTAATTTTACTATTGATAAAAAATTGTTCATTTCCTTTATTTATTTTTGTTCTAACTTTAGCTAATATCTTCTCAGGAGCGTATAGCTGTTTTGGAAATGGAATTGAATGATTCACAAAAGAAAGCTGATCAAATGAATCAAATTCTTGAAAGTTCTCGAAGTCATTATGCCATGCTTGAGAATAAATATGAGCATGCAAATCAGTTGTTGCGAACCTATCAAGAGAGGTATTATTTTTATTTACACATTAATCTAACTGTCATTTGATGATGACGATAAAAATTGGCTGTTTACTGAACATTTTCTGAGCCTAATATTTGTAGAGAAAAAGAGCTGCTGGAACGAGAAGAGGCTCATGTTGATCAGTTACGGCAAAAAGATGCTCACTATAGTACACTGGTTGCTCAACTAAAGGAAAGAATTGTTGAATTGGAGAAAAAAATTGAAGAAATGGCTGCAAAGTTAGCTTTTTGTTGTTGTTTTCTTTCTGATTTTTTGTAAACAATATAGAAGCTAAATGTGTTTATTTTTAATACTTTTTATTCAAAAATTTTTTATACGTTGGTCAGGTCAGTCACAGTTGTTCAACGTTTATTCTTTATTTTTTGCTCAACCTTCTTAAGATAGTTTATAATTTTCAACTGAAGCCCATTATTGCTATAATTATTTATAGTGAAAAATTTGTCGTTATAAAAATTTATGTTACATTAGCGTTTGTTTATTGGTCAGTTTTATGTTTCATTGAACTAATGAAAAAGCATAATATTATTTTTATGCAATATATGTAACTGTTGAAAGCCTTTAGACGACAAAGTGTAGTAGAAGGTGAAACAAATGAACCAAAAGAACAGGTAGCAAACAACGATGTAAGTCCAGCACTTGCTTACAAACCCACTTGTCCACTGGATCATTCGGCAGCAAAAGCTAAAGTGCTTGTTGTTAAAGCCAGTCAGGTTAGCACTAACTTTAGGAATTCTATGAGTTGTTTTTTTGTTTTGTTAAACAGTTTTTTCCATTTAAAAAAAAAACTACAAATGCAAATGCCTATTTTATTTTAGTGCTTTATTTTTACATTTTAAGTAGTCACTTGTTTAAGACAACACGAATGCCTCCCAGTATGGGTCGTCGTGCAAATACCGAAAGCGGTTGTGAGAGTTGTGCTGATGAAACTTCTTGCGATGGTAACAGATCGTCAAGAGACAGTCCTATACCAAGGATATCTGAACCAGCAAGTCCAATATTACCATCCAAATTTAGCCATCGGAGATTGCTGTTTCCACTCCGTAGACGATGTATTGCAAGTATGGCATTTTTTTTTTTTCAGTTGGAAAGTGGGAAAGAAAAAGAACAAATTGATAATCTGTTGTTTTATCACAGTGTAATCAGCTAATGAGCATAATTATTGTTTAGATAATTACAGTTATGTGACTGTTTGAAGAATAAACTGCAAAAATATAGTGTAAACTGTTATTTATTATATTTTAGCTGAACACGAATTTTGGAGAGATTCGTTCGATTCGTTCCAGGTAAACCTAAAAATTTATTGCTAATAAAATTGTTTAATTATAGTTTTGCTTTTAAAATAACTATTATTTTTATATTTGCACTGGTTATAATGCATATTTAAATGATGAGTGGTTTTAAATTGGGCAAAAAAAAAGTCATCGTATTTTGAATTACAGGGTTTACAAGTGGTACATTGGACATGCGATGATGTTTGTCAATTGCTCATACAAATGGGTCTTGATAAATATATACCGGAATTTACAGTCAATCAAGTTACTGGCACAAAATTTTTAGATCTTGATACTGCCAAATTAAAGGTTTATAAATGATTTTTGCTAATTATTTTTTAATGCAACAATCTGTGCACATGTAACTTTCATAATGTATATTTATATATAATATAGTTTATCTTTCTTCTTTGATTCTTAAGTCTAGTTATGAGCTAAAATTTTTTTGAATCATTGTTTAGGATGGTTTTTTGTTGGAAAAAAAAATAGAAAACCTGATAGACTCTTGTCAGTTGTATAGGGAATTTGTTGAAGACACTTGTTGAATGTTCTTAGCACTGCTATTCTTGCCAATAATTTAGTGTTTTTTTTTTGCTTTTAGTTGCAGTAGTAATTGTAACAACTATTTTCTGCTTTTCTTTACGTTAGCCACTGCTATTAATGCATATAAAAAGCATGTTTAGGCAATGGGTATTCAAAATCATTCGGATCGTTCCGTGATCAAGAAGAAAATCAAGGCAATTAAAGGAAAAATTGAAAGAGAAAGAAAAGCATTGGAGAAACAAAGTCGTCAACGGATTGTCGCCACAACAATTCCATGAGAATTGCTCATACAAAATTGCTATTAGACAGCAACAAGTAGTTAGTTGCTGTAACAGTTGTTTGAACCGTCTTTAATGTAACTTAACCAAAGCGGGCATCTGGTTTAGTAGTTGATATGTACCAAGTCTTCTGCAAAGTATGGCTACTTTGAACATAAAAAAACTTCACCAACAAATAATGAAAAAAAGCAGTTTATCTGAAAAGATTTCCCTTTTTTTTTTTTCTTTACAGATGTTGCAGTTGATAATTCCCGAAGCTGTACATTTTCTTACAGCTATATATTTTTTTCATTTATCTCACATGTTAGGTGTTATTTGAATTTTTTATGAATGGATTATTGACGGTATTGTTTAATTTGAGTTACAAAATTATTTCTATATATACATCTGTTTGGCTAAAAATTCTGTTGATTATTTTGATAATTCTTTATAATGACACCAGACCAAGTTGTTTCAACACTCTGTTTTCTTTCCCTAAAATCACTTAAAACGAATTTTTTACACGCACACAAATACAGATGCACTTACTTTCTTAGACACAGATTCAACTAGTGTAGTTCAAAGTGCTGATTTATCACAGAACTACAGTTACGTCTTGCATCTTTGTTTCTCTTTTCTTTTCTTTTCTTTTTGTTCTAAACTTGGATATGGTTGAATTAGACATTTTTGTTGTAAATATGTTTTTTAATGGTATTCTTACAGTGCTAAAATTTTTGATTCTGCTCTGTTTTCTTTTTCTTTTTCTTTATTTTTCTAATAGTTCAGTGATATACAGACTGTTAAAATTGTGCAGTTCTGTTTACGATGATGCTAACGGTACTGTTTGATGATGAATGATGAAGGAGAAGGTGAGACGGAGAGAATTGCGTAAGAGATAAGAAAGTTGGTCTTAGCGCATCAGCACCAACCCCAATCTAAATTTCGGATTCTAAGACATAGGTATAGTGCACCGGAAGTTCAGTGTTGGAACAGTACCTTTAGCTGTAGGCCGTTGATGTAGAGATATTGTTGTTAAGCGTGCAATCTTGCTCTGTGATAAAAAAATTCTCCTCATTTTTTTCCCTTATCCTTTTTTTTTCTTGTTCATAAAAAGTTATTCTATTATAAATAGTTGTTCTTCTTTTTCAGCTACAAAACTATTTCTTCTTTCTTTTTATCTTGTTTTTGGAACGTCTGTTTTCCACTGTTGTTTCACTGATTTGTTTTTCTCAATGTCGCTCATTAATGTTTTATTTGAATGAACGGTTTATGGCACATTTATGTATTATGAATGTCTTTAAAATACTTTTTTTTTGTTTAAATTATTTCTGAGCTTAAACGTATAATATATATAAATTTATATATACATATATGTTTATTTATGGTTGAATTGTTTTGCTAGTGAAAAATGATTAAAACTATAAAAAATTCATTCATTTTGCTGCTGAAATTTTTTTTTCTCCGTTGTTTTATTTCAGTTAAAGTGAAGAAAAAAAATAATTTAATTTTCATTAAATGAAGTTGAAAGAACTGATCGGAAGTTAGTGTAAAAGTTACTGACGAAGTATAATGAAAGACATTAAAGTAGTTCCAATGTAATGCTATTGAAAGTAGACGGGGAAATGACATAAGAATCGTTTCCATAGTTGAACTTAACTGACATAGTTCAAAAATCGATTCGACAACGTTTGTTATCGGAAATAAATATTCATTAGTTGGTATCTGTATCGTCAGTGAGATCTTCTGATTAACGGATCTATTTAAAGGATTCGAGGAAGATGGAACAAAATTTACTTCTCCTCTTTGTTTTCGTATTTTTCTTTTTGCTCAGCTGCAATTTCTTTCCATCTTTTGGTATTCTCTCTAAAATTATTATAAGTTATGAGCATTCACACTAAAATTTGAACAACTAACTGTTGAGATATGTTCTGAAGCAACGCTTCTTTTTTGCTTGAAACTAAAACTCCATTAATTGATTATTATCAAAAATAATGGGCAAAAACAAAAGTGGTAGCATCAAACAAAAGTCGTAATGCCTGACTTGGCTCGTTGATAAAACGGTTCACTTTCTGGAATAACTTTAGCCAGCAGTTCGTAGCACGGTATACAGATGCCTTCCATGAAACCCACTTGAGCTTGAGGTAGTTCGTTGGCTCGTCGCCGATCCATCATTGGAATAGGCTCAAGTCCGTTCATTCTTTCTGCGTCTCCCTGTAATAATAAGAGTATCAACAGTAACTAAACGCTCAATACGAATATAGTTTTGAGCAATTGATATTGCTAAGGAAGCCGTTTTTCAGCGGAAAACACCGTACCTGGTCGTAAAATTCGCCATAAATGACTTTGACTGTTTCAGCTTGGGTCATCCAGGGTTTAGCTGCTGCTACAAGGTCACAACCGGTCATAACAACCGCTCTGACTAGTGCCCTACGTAAATAAGCTAAGTTCACTTCTGTATAAACTAGACATAAAAATTTTTAATAGCCAGTACACTTTATGATATTAAAGCTGTTTTTTGACTTTTTTTATTGAACTTTTTTTTTTCACAAATTGTAAGATTTGTTGTTTAAAGTCGACAATTTTGATGTTTTAAGTGTCCTAAAAACGCAAGTGAATTAGAGAAAATTAGCTGCTAAGTGGCTTTGAAAATCTATTATGATGGAAAAAGGGGAGGGGGGAAGCAAAAAGGATGTACTGATGTTTTAAAAAAAGGCATTAAGTGCTTTTTCTTGATTTTAGCAACAATTTGTAAATTGTTTAAAACCACTACCTGTGAGCTTCGTCTTCCCAAGTAAATTTTCCTTCAACAACCAAAGCATTTAATTTTGCTCTGTTTGGAAAAAATAAGGCTAAATCTGTGGCTAAAATGCACTGTTTGATTAACCGGAGAACGTATTTGTAGTCTTCAGATGACAGCGACTTTAATATGTTATGACCTTCCTGAAAAAAAAAAAAAAAAGAACCTACGACTGTCACATGAACATATCAATTTCTGTTGTGCATATAACTAATCTTTCTTTTCTTTTTTTAAATTACAGCTACAGTTACGGTGGTATTGTATACTAACTTGTTGTAGAATGGTGACAGTTTGATTGAAATGATGATGTTCCATCACTGATGTCGAATAGATCGCAGCAAGTGGTGTACTCATTGATTTCATATAGGCATTATTTTTACCACGGTGGTCAAGATCATGACATAAACATGCCGTATACATGGCCAAAGACTAAAGAAAAAAAACTTTTAGTTTTAACGTAGTATTTAGAAAATGTTTTTATTACAGTTCTTTGTTTGCTGATTACAGCAGTTTACAAATGGTCATCAGTCGCAAAAAAAAGGTGGTGAAGTTTAACCACAGAACATAATTCAGTTTTTTTTTTTTGTTGTTATTTGTATTATTAGTCTTCCAGTTCTTGCAGATCAACGTCAACTTCATTTACAGTTTAATGAAATGTATGAGCATAAAACTACCAAAGACTAATATTCTTTAAAGCCTCTGATGCTAACAAGAACTTTTTCTAATGGATTAACCTACGGGAAAACGAAAAGGGCTTAGCGAATATAACAGTCTTTCCAGTTTGCATTTTCCTCACTTATTTATTTCTTGAGTTGTTAACAGATGCTTTTTCTTCTTCTTTTTTTGGAGAGGTCAGTGGTCAAACTAACTTCCAATGGAGAAAAATAGGATGTAGCTCGAAGTAGTGCAAACATAGCTTGTGCCACCGTCCAACCATGCATCCAGTTGTGGTATGCTACTCGACGGTAATTTTTTCGTACCGTAAGTACAAAACGGATGAGGTCATCTTTGTCATAACGACTGCAAAAATAATCATTGTTTTATTTTCGCTGATACAACAACTTTGGTTTCTTGACTGTTTCATAAATTATACCTTAAGTGCCGACTATAATTATATTTACTGCTGTACAACAAAATATTACAGTGCTTGTTTTGCAAAAAAATGCTGAAAAGCTCAGAATCGCTAGCCAGTAATTGAATTGGTGTTGAGAAGTATACAGTTTCTCTTTGGTGATGTAAAATTGAAAAAAAATTTTCTTAAGCTTATTAATGAGTTTCAAAACTGTTGAATAATAACTGTACTCACATAATACTTTTGAATAGTGTTTCGAACATGTAAACAGCATAAAGCGGTTTTTCAATTTCACTTAACTTCAGGCCACTGAATTCAAGTCTGAAATATAAAACACTGGTTATAAATGTAGCATTCTAATTTAGTCACATTTAGGGCATCTAAAACAAGCTGGTTGAGGTTTTGTTTCTTTTACAACTTCAAACTTTTTCACCTCATTGTGGTCAAAGTACAATAATTTTCTTTTACAAAAACTGTAAGAAAGTTGAATGCTGGGGAAGTTGAAAGTTAGGAAAAAAGTAAGGTAGCAAATAAAAATGACACCTCTATTTAATTTGAGCATTTTTCAAACACTTTTAGCACTGTTTTTCGACAAACACTAAACGTTTCATTTTATATTTATTGAACAAAAAGTATCAGTAAAAAAGAAGAAGTAGAAATCAAGCTTACAAATCGAGTTCTTCAATACAGTCTTTTAGCTTGATACTTTTAAGTCTGTTCACTTCGTCTTTGTTACAAACACTGTGATAAGCCAGTACTTCAAGTGCGACACGATACTTCTTAAAATACGGTTTAGTAGCTGTAGCTTTCACTTGAAGATTTATTCTGTTAGATTAATTTTATCTAATTTTTAAAATTGATTACTGACTGAATGCTGCAGTTCAGCTAACAAGTAATACGTTTTTTTTTTTTGCTTATTACACACTAATTTGTTGTTAGACAGTTTTCAGGTTATTTTTTTTTTCTGCTGTTATTCTTTCTAAAGACTAAACTTTAAAAAATTTGTTTATAATTTGTTGATTTCATACTTGTTCGGAACGTTTTATCCTGTCGTATAATTTTGCGTGATGTAATGCCAAACCGCAGTAAACGGCAAATGTTTCAAAGGCACTTTCGTCTTGTTCAGTAAATCGGCCACTGATTTTGTTGACCATTTGTACCACACCGATCACACTGAATAGTTTTTACAACAATTATCAGCAAAAGTAAGATTGCTGTAAAAAAATGTCAAATATGCATAAAATGAATGCAACAAACTGCAGAAAAGTTATTGATAATTTGGGAGACATGACTGAGATGACCCAAACAATATATCCAACACAAAAACTTTTAAACTGACACTCCTCGGATAAATATTGGCATACAGAGAATTGTACGTGTCTGATATCCAGTTTTTTTATCAATTTCTTTATTAAACCTTTCATCTTCATAGGCATCTGGTATATTCAATTTATGACCTGTAGTAGCCACATAACCAGCAATTCCCTTATCAGCTGGAAATCTGAAATTTTTTGTAAAGTGTTAAACGAAATTTTAAAATTATATTCAGATACTGAGCGAATGAGAAATACAAAAAACATTGTTTTGTTAATAATAACTTTACTAAGATTTTTTTTTTCTGTTTTTTAAAGACAGACAAAACTGTTATATTGCCTTATTTCTTTGCTGCCATCTTCGGTGATATTAACATCGTGCTCTTTGCTGGTACCAACGTCGAATATTCTTGCATACAGTTCATTATTTTTATGATCTACAAGAAACAACGATGCTCGATCAGCATTCGTCAATCGTTGAGCGAAATTCTGTAGCACAGATTACCGTTTAGCAAGTTTCTTTTTCATATGTAGTAACGTTTTTTTACAGTCAGTACAAAAAAATATCGTTTAATTGTTTTATATGAAAAAAAACAAAAAAATATATTATTTTAACCGAAAGAAAAGTACAAACAAAACAGAAAAAAAACTGAAATACTAAGCGAAAAATTCAAAGTGTCAACGAAGCCTATTCTTATTGCTATCATCAGTTTTATTTCTGCAAAAATTTAGTTATAATTGTCAATTAAATTGTCAGAAAAATTGCGAAAAAAAAATAGGCAAATTAAACTAACCATAATTTTTATGATAACTTTATCCATGCTAACAATATCCTGAAATATTGACCTATTTCAGAGCAGTTAATTGATAACAGTAAAATGACAATAGATGATACCTGGTAACATCCAACAAAAATGCGCTTAATTTGTCTTGTAATTTTTTTGGCGTAGAATCTAAGCCATCAATCATATCGTTACCATCAACAGTATTCTAAAAAAGCAAAAAAAAAAAAGATAATAACAATTATTCATTTTAAACTTGGCATTTTCAATCTTGGTTTAATATAACTGTCTAAGACAGTAGCATAATTTGTTGAGCTTTATAAACATTTGTTGCTCACTTAACAGCTAAACAAATTACTAAATGTTAAGATAGATTAGTTATTAAAGAAAAAGATTGAATAAGTACCAAAGCAATAAAAAAAAAAACCAAAAAACCTGTACAAAATGTATGAGAGCAGATCCCCAAGTGCATAAAACTTTGACTGCACTAACATCACGATCGCTAAGACTTCCATACAAATTGATCATTCCTTAAAATATCAACTTTTGGTTTTTTTTTTTCTTGGCATCTTATTTTTATTTCTTTTATTGCTTTTATTTGAATATTATATTTGATATGTACTATAAAGAAACATCCCACTTATTTTTTATTCTTATTTTTATTTTTATTTTTTGTTGCAAAAAACTACTATGCATTTGTTTTGGCAGACAAACATTTGGTGGATAACACTTAAATTGGTTTAATATCACCGATCAAATTCAAAGACAGTTTGGGGAAAAAAAGCAAATTTTTATAACTTTATATGTAAGTAAATTTTTCTTAAATCTTTCTTCTTCTTTTTTTGGCATTTAATAATAAATTGATAAATTTTTGAATAGTCGTTATGATAAAAAAGAGAAAACAAGCCTTTTAACGTTTTTTTCGGAATCATAATTCACTGACTAAGCTTCTAAAAAATCTTTTTAAGTTGCCCATTATTCTTGTTTCTTTGATTTTTATAGTTTATAGAACATTTTTAAAACATTCAAAAATTTTAACAAAGTTGTTTTTCACTTCCAAAAATGTTCTTAGAATTTGCTCAACAACAATTTTTCCATTTTTTTTTCTTGCTTTTTTTTTTCTGCTTTTTGCTTTAAAGTGTCAAAGAAACGAAGAACGAAAAGAAGAGCAACAGATTTGTTAAATCAGGTAATTGAGAAGATCATTTCTGAAACTAGCAAAAAATGGAACATTGAAAAGGGTTAATTTTAGAATTATAGTTTGTTTATACACATTGAACAGCATCGTTAATAATCCGAAACCTATTAATTGTTATTGAATAACTGAGGAATATCTTTAGCCAAAAATTATTTGAAGCATAAAAGCAGAATGCTTAAGTTTGATATTATTTTTAGTGCTAAAACATACTGCTGATTACCAACCAAGCTGAGTTCCACTGGCATTGTAAAGTATTTCAGTGTAAAAAACATTTTTTCGTATACGACTAGTTTTTTTTAGCCGAATTTCGTTGTCATGTTTCAGCACAAACATTGCCTGCGAATCTTTGACAATCTGTACATCATAATGATCCGCAGAAACCAACTGTGAACAAGCTTCAGCCAGTTCCAGTAACAACTCTTCGATGCTTAGCCGACCTTTCATTAGCAACTTTCGTCGACTGCTCAAGTCGGAAGCCTTAAAGAGGAGAGCAAAAGAAGAAAGAAATGACTGAACATTAATTCATTGAGAACAATTCTGTTAACTGATTAATCTGTTTTAAACAGTTCTGTTAACTGATTTAAATATCAGCAAAAAAAAAAAAAAAGAAAGATGTGATTATTAATAATCAATAAGTTATTTCAGAGAACTTTTTTATCACTTTTATCAACGCATCAACTGATATGATGACAACAGCTTAGGAAGTAAATAAGAAAAAAGAAAACACTATTATGCTATAATCTTCCTTGTTTTTTTTTTCTTTTAGTTTGCAAAGTTAAATCAAATTATTTTTTTTGCATAGACTTACCAGCCATTTATTATTATTAACACTGATTGGCAGTTTACTGGAATACTTGTTCAACGAACGTTTGGCAATCCATCGTTGGAATGTTACACGTGTAACATTTGGTCCGGTAACGTAGCTTTCTAAGAATTTTGGATGAGTTTTCAGATAAGTGACAACAACATCTTCACGTATATTCATTGAACATTAAGTTTTTTTTTGTCACAACAACAAAATTCAGTTGCATCTGAAAAACACTATGGCAACCGGTCGTCGGCAAACATTGATGAGCATTTTTTTTTCCTGCTAATTGTTATCCTCTATCCTATCCTCTTCCTCTATCTTTTTCAGTCTGGTCATTTAGTAGTGCAAAAAAAAAAAAAAGTGTAAGAAGAAGATAAATAAACACTTTTTTTTTTGTAAAAACAAATTAATATTTGATACTTTATTACGTAAAATAAAGGTTTTCATTTGGACAAACAAAAAAAAAGAACAAGAACAAAAACAAAAACATTTCCTGTTCTTTTTTTGACATAAAATACTTTGACTTTTTCTTCCAATTTTGTTTTTTTTT